TTTGATGTCCCAGGTGAATGTGTGACTGGAAAGATATCGTTCTCTGCTCTGACCTTCACCTGCCATTCCACCAACTTATAAATGTCCCTTTGAGTTCTACACTACTCTCCTTATAATTTAAAATGTTTCAAATTTGTCTACAAATTTTTAAATTGCCTCCTGTACACCAAGTTCTTGATCATTAATATATATCAGGAAAAGCAAGGGTACCAATACGGATCCCAGGGGAACTCCCCACAGCATACCTTTCTCCAGCCCAATAAACATTCATTAACAATTACTATCCGTTTCCTATCATAGCCATTTGGTATTCATGAGCTCTAAATTTCTTCACAAGTCCGTGGTATGGCATTTTCAGAGCAAACAACCTTACTCTATCTTTCCAGTCACACATTCACCTGGGACATCAAAGTTTATAAGAAATAAGCAAGATGGAGCTAAAACCATAATAAGATCAGCATGATTTTGCTCAAGGGGCCAAATAGTCTACTCCTATTACTTAAGATTCTCAGAGTTTTCACTTGATGACACATGGTCTATAACAAAATACAAAATAAATATTTAGTATCAACAGTTACTCAGCTGATACTACTTCTGTTTAACTAGGAAAGAAGGAAAGTCAGGAAAATAGTCCATAATTATGATTCTAAACAATGATTTAGTGGTTCTTGCAAAGTATTTCTGTTATTTTGCTTTTGCAGTTTTGGGAGCATTGGAGTTTTGTGTTATTAATCAAACATATTGTAATTTTCTTAGGTATTGCTTTTATTGTAATGGAGATCGAATATTTCTGCAATAGTTCTCAAGAAACAAAGCTGATGGAGCAAATTGAACAATTTGTTCACATTCATCGCAACAGTTTTTTGCTTTTGGCTGCTGCCCTTTATGGTGTGAAAGAATGGGAAATACTATTTAAAATTCAACAAAGGTATTTAATGGTAAATTGACTGGCCATATTTAAAAACTGTACCAATTACATATGAATTTTAACAAGTTATTCAAAATCTCAAATTTCTCTGAAGAAATAAAATATTTCAACATAAAAGAAAGCTTATTTCGAAGGTAGCAAGAACTGCAGATGCTGGAGTCAGAGACAATACAGTGTGGAGCTGAAGGAACACAGCAGGCCAGGCAGCATCAGAGGAGCAGGAAAGTTGATGTTTTGGGTCGAGACCCTTCTTCGGAAATGTGGACGGGGAAGGGAGATGGGAAATAAATAGAGGAGGGGTGGGGCAGGGGAAGATAGGTGCGATGGTGATAGGTGAATGCAGGTAGGGAGTGGTGGGGCGGATAGGTGGGAGAGAAGATGGACAGGTTGTTGTTTGTCACATACAGAGGGCAGATGCTCTACGAAATGGTCTCCGAGTATACGCTTGGTCACACAGACGTAGAGGTGGCCATATCAGGAGCAGCGGATATAGTAGACCAAGTTGGCGGCTGTACAGGTGAAGCCCTGTCTGATATGAAAGGTTTGCTTTGGGCCTTGAATGGAGGTGAAGGGGGAGGTGTAGGGCCAGGTGTAGCACTTCCTGCGGTTGCAGGGAGAGGTGCTGGGTGTGGTGGGGTTGGAGGGGAGTGTGGACCGCACGATGGAGTCGCAGAGTGAGCGGTCCCTATGAAAAGCAGATGGGGTGGGGAGGGAAGTACCTCTTTGGTTGTGGGCTCAGATTGTAGGTGGCAAAAGTGGTGGATATGGAGGTTGGTGGGGTGATATGTGAGGACAAGGGGGATTCTGTCTTTATTTTTGTTGGGGGGAGGGGGTTTGAGGGCAGAAGTGCGGGAAATGCAAGAAATGCAGTTGAGGGCATTTTTAATCACTGGAGGGGGAATGTTGTGGTCCTTGAAATAAGACATCTGGGATGTCCGGGAGTGGAACGCTCCATCTTGGGGGCAGATGCAGTGGAAGCAGAGGAATTGGGAGTAAGGGATCGCATTCTTGCAAGAGGGTGGGTGAGAGGAGGTGTAGTCCAGGTAACTGTGGGAGTCTGTGGGCTTGAAATAGATGTCAGTTTCTAGATGGTTACCAGAGATGGATACGGAGAGGTCCAGGAAGGAGAGGGAGGTATCGGAGATGGTCCTGGTGAATTTGAGGTTGGGGTGAAAAGTGTTAAAGATGATGAACTGTTCAAGCTCCTTGTGGAAGCACAAGGCAGCGCCGATATAGTCATCAATGTAACGGAGCAATATTAAGAATTTATAGTAACAATTAACTTCAATCCAAAACCTTTGAAGAAAGTGGTATATAGCTCTGAATCCAATGTATTTTCAGAAAAAAACATTCATGGAAGTGGAAATGAAAACTGTTCTTCCATAGCATGCAGATTATTGCCAGATGATGTGGTTAACAAATTACATTTCTGGTATGTTTTCCTTTCTTTTTTACTGATTAGACCCCACTTAGAGTGGTGTGTGCAGATCTGAGCACCACACCTTAGGAAGGATGTACTGGCCTTGGAGGGAGTACAATGTAGGTTTACAAGAATGATACATGGACTTCAGGGGTTAAGTTTGAGGAGAGATTATACAAAGTAGGCCTGTTTTCTCTAGAAGTTAGAAGGTAAAGGGGAGATCTGATTGAAATCTTCAAGATATTAGCCACAAATCAGCCACAATCTCATTAAATTGTGGAACTGGCTCCAGGGGCTGAATGGCCTATTCCTGTTCCTATGATAATCTTCCAAGTCTCCATGTGCCACACTGCATATCCATAACCCCACCCCATGCCAAAAAAGGTCCTCCCATCTCCCACCACCAACCCAGAGTAATTGATGGATACACAGTGTATAGTGAAATCAGCACATCTGGCATTAGAAATCTGGCATGTACCTGGAATGTCAGATTTTTGCTTGTTGCTCAGTATTGTGAGTTCTGTTGAGTGAGAAGTATACAGAAAGAAAAACCTGAAGTGGAGTAGAGATTACTTATAAAGTGCAGTCATTACAATATGGGCAAACAAAATAGTCAATTTGCACTTCAACCATGAAAGACTGACCAGGTGATCTGGTTTTGGTGATAGTGATTGCAGAAGGAAGGGTGGCCAGGGTGACTCTCTGCTCTTCCATTAGTATCATGAGGTATTTTACATTTACTTGTGGAGGGAGGTGGGGTCTCTATTCAACATTTCAGTCGAATGATGCACTTCCAACAATGTATTGATTCCACGTTCTGAATGCTATCATTTTGAAGCTGGTGAAGTCAATATTGAGGCCATTGTACTATAAGCTAGGTTCTGCCACCTACAATCAGACCCCAGGACCAAAAAGATATTTCCTTCCCCACTCCCGTCCCCTTTTTCAGGGACCGTTCATTCCACGACTTCCTCATTAGCTCTAAACTCCCCACCAACTTCTCCATCACACCCAGTACCTTTCCCTGCAATCGCAAGAGGTGCAACACCTGCCACTACACCTCCTCCTACACCTCCCCTCTCGCCTCCGTCCAAGGCCCCAAACAATCCTTCCAGATTAGGCAGAGATTCACCTGCACTTCATCCAACCTGATCTATTGTATCCATTGCTCCTGATGTGGTCTCCTCTATACCGAGGGAGACCAAACACAGAGCATCTGTGCTCTGCAGGCACCAACCAACCCAACCTTGTGGTTGCCATCCATTTTAATTCCCCTGGCAACACGTCCACCCTTGGCCTCTTCCACTGTCACAGTGAGGCCAAACTGGAGGAACAACACCTGATATTCTGCGTTGGGAGGTGACAGCCCAATGGCCTCAATATTGACTTCACCAGCTTCAAAATCCCTCCACCCCCTCACCCCATGTCCAGCCCTTGCCCTCCTTCTCTCCTTCCTGATCTGACCTAACCTGTCCATCTTCCTACTCACCTATCCATTCCACCCTTCCCAGGGACCAATCACAATAAACTCCTACCTACATCCATCTATCACCATCCCACCTACCCTTCCCCCAGGCTCACACACCTCCATTTACTTCTGGCGTCCCGTCCCCCTCCCGAGTCCTGACTAAGGGTTTCAGCTCGAAATATTGACTTTCCTGTTCCTCGGATGCTGTCTGACCTGCTGTGCTTTTGCAGCTTCACGTCTATTGACTCTCGCTTCCAGCATCTGCAGTCCTTACTTTCTCTATGTTACAGTACTGTACTCCTTGAGAAAAACATGCACTGAGTTTTTCAGTCACTTATTTCCATTACAGCTATAATTGAGCATATTGTCTTCAAAGTATGCATTAGCTCATAAGAACAATGTTACTGAGAAATTAATTCTTGTATAAAAAATTGGTTTGCTGTTAAGTAATCTAACTTTGTACTCTGTCTCGTTTGTTTCACTTGATTAACACAAACCAATCTAAGGCAGTTTAGAAACTTTTTTTTTTGCAGGTTTTTGGGTAGTAATCTGAGAATCATCCCTGCACACAATTCTGGTGATATGGTCAAGAGTATGCTGACTATAGCCAAGGTAGGTATATCTCTTAACATTTAAGATTTCATAAAACATTTGAATGTTGTATCTGATATAAGGCGATTACTTTTACTCAGGATCAATAGAATTTTTAGGACAATGATTTGGTAACAGTAAGAATGGAATTTTAATTTCCATAAATATCTAAGCATTTACTGATGAGAATATCCACTGCAATGACAGTAATAGCATGATACATAAATGATCAGTAATTCAAATACCCATTCCTTATGAAGGTTACATGTAAACCACACGTGGACAGTGTTCGTGACCGCATCGCCATGATCAGAGCTCAGATCATAGAACATAGTCCTGTTTGGGAGATGCTTCACAAGCGACAGCTGAATGATGTGTAAAGTGAGCAATTATGAATGTGATGTTATTACTGCACAGTGCTTTGTGGTCTATAAAACTATTTAGAACTATTTTCAGTCAATTAACTTTTCAATTTATAAATGTGTTTGTTGTTAATATGTTTTGTTTGAAAGTTGGCAATAAAATTTTCTGGACATAGCATTTTTTTTAAATCTCAAACAATGCTTCCTTTAGTAATTTGATACTCTTCAATTAGTTGAAACTATCATTTTAAACAAGTATAATCGGCTGAATCTTAATTTTTTTTTAAGAAGTGCAAGGTGTGAGTTTCTTTGGAAACACATTTGCCATGAGGACTATAGCACAATTTATTGCTATGTTTTACGAGATGTGCTTTACTAACGACCTATCCGACCATATGCCATTGCTCACGTCCGATTCTATCTCCATCTTACCATGGATTATTCCAGGAACAACTTGACACTCCCTCGATGTCAGCTCAAAGACCGGTAGCCATTGTGCCTGTGCCATTTTTTAAAAGCTTGTTGTGAACCTGGACAAGAACTGTCGGACCAAAGCTGCCTGCTTTGTGGGCAGGGATCTGGAGGTCCTGATGGGGACATGCTGTTCCCTCAAGACCAGGCGAGAAGGGCACAACCCCAGACAATGCCATCCCTGGTCAGAGGCTGCCACGCCTGTCGGTGCAGTCTCAGCCATCTGGAGGGGTGTCAATGATCTACCCAACTTCGCCAGTGTAAGTGCCACCATCTTCCATGTGAAACCTCACACTCATCTCTGTTACTGTACCCACTTCCGACCAAGGCCCATGCTCTATACTCTCACTATTGCCTGCAACGTTTTCTCCATTTATTATCAATCCCACCTCCAACAGCGTTACCATGGCATGTTCCTCTGTACTGCCTACTCACCCACTCAGGACACCTTCCCTCCTGCAACAAAACAGCTGTGCCATCCATTTTCATTTCCCATTATACCTACCTTTCTCTCATTCAAGGAGGAAAATAGTCCAGAATAGGGCAGAAAGAGGCATGAGTTGTAGGCTGCCTGACATCCGACTCCTCACTCTTTGTGTGGAGACCAACTTGACTCTGAACATCCTGAGCAGCTGACTGACAGAGTCCAAGTCTCTGATAGTATCAGAGGTTACCCTTGATTTACTAAGCCTTCACACTGGGGGAGGGTGACAGTAATTTCCCTTCACTGAGTACAGCTGACAACCAACAAGCTTCCTGACTTTGTTCTGCACTAAATGCCGAAGCAACACAGAGTAATTTGAGTCTAGCATATTTGGCTAAGGGGTAAAGCATGAAAAGACAATGCAAAGCAGAGATGCTATGAGCATCCAAAATACTCACAGACAGCAACAGCCCACAGACATAAAAAGAAATTGCTGGAGAAACTCAGCAGATTTGGCAGCCTACATGGAGAGAAAGGAGAGTTAATGTTTTGAGTCTAGTGACCCTTCTTCAGCAGTGATTGTAGCTAAGACTATGTGGTATATATGCCAAAGACAGGGGAGGGGTGTGTCTATGTACGTGGAAGGAGTAAGCCTCGAGGTGGAGATAGAGCCCAGAGAGAGAGATCATCAGACTCCATTTCCACCACCTCCAGCAAGATGCCACCACCAGACACATATTCCCCTCCCCTCCCTTGTCCGCCTTCCACAGGGACCGTTCCCTCCGGGACACCCTGGCCCATACTTCCTTCACCCCCAACACCTCCCCACAGCCCTAAGGCACCTTCCCCTGTAACCGGCGAAGGTGCAACACCTGCACATTTACCTCCTCCCTCCCCAGTATCTAAGGGCCCAAACATACCTTCCAGGTGAAGCAACACTTCACCTGCACTTCCAAGAATCTAGTCTACTGCATTCGCTGCTCACCATGTGGTCTCTTCTACATTGGGGAAACGAAGCGTAGACTTGGCGACCGCTTCGCAGAACATCTACGTTCTGCTCACAAAAAAGACCCTGAACTACCTGTTGCCTGCCACTTCAATGCACCACCTTGCTCCCTGGCCAACATCTCTGTCTCCGGCTTGCTATAGTGTTTCAGTGAAGCCCAGCGCAAGCTGGAGGAACAACACCTCATTTTCTGCTTGGGGATCCTACAGCCCTCCGGACTCAATATTCAGTTCAATAATTTTAGGGCCTAAACTGTCCCATGTCCCAGCCCCCCACCCCACACACCAGGCCTTGTTACCACATAGCCTGCCATTACACACCCCTTGTTGTTAGTCACTAACAGTCCCCATTAACAACTATTCACCCTCCCAGCCTGATCGTTAGCAACTCCTTTGTCTGTCCAACTGTCTTTCTCTCTCTCTCTCTTTGGGCTCTATCCTATCGCTTACTCCCTACCCCCGCACCTCCCTATTTTCTGCATATAAGCTGACGATTTCCCAGCCACCATCAGTTCTGAGGAAGGGTCACCGGACCCGAACCCGAAATGTTAACTCTGTTTTCTCCTCCACAGATGCTGCCAGACCTGCTGAGCTTTTCCCGCAACTTTGTTTTTGTTCCAGAGAGAGAGAATGAGTTTTGGGCAGACAATGGGATGAATGATAGTATGCAAAGTAGAATGAAAAGCTGATAATGAGGACATAAGGAAGTGAAAATAAGCTGCCTGTGCTGAAAGCAATCCATTTCATGGCAGGGCCTGGGGTGTTGGAGGGTAGATAAAGAACATGGAAGGTATTCAGGTTCTAAAACTCTCAGGACTCTCCTGGAGCAAAGGCCTGAACTGTCCCCAGCCACCACCATCTTCCTCCGCTTGGCCGAGCTCATCCTCACCCTGAACAATTTCTCTTTTGACTCCTCTCGTTTTCTTCAGGTCAGAAGGGTGGCCATGGGTACATACGTGGGCCCCAGTCATGCCTGTCTCTTCACGAAGTACATGGAACATGCCTTGTTCCAGCCCCTCTTCCGGCCCCCACCCACAACTCTTTCTCTGATATATCAATGGTATCGGTGCTGCTTCCCTCTCTCGTCCAAAACTGGAAAAGTTCATCGATTTCACTTCCAATTTCCATCTGGCCCTCAGTTTCACCTGGTCTATCTCTGACTCCTCCCTTCCCTTCCTTGACATCTGTTTCCATTTCTGGAGATAAACTGGCCACTAATATCCACCAACTTCCACAGCTACCTGGACTATACGTCTCCGCACCCCGCATCCTGGACTATACATCTCCGTTGCATATGTTCTGATGAAGCTAACTTTGACAAGGGAGCCTCTGAAATGTCCACCTTCTTCCTCAACCGAGGATTCCCCAACACCGTTGTTGACAGGGCTCTCAATAGGGTCTGACCCATCACCTGCACTTCCACCCTCACCCCCTTCTTCCCTCCCGCAACAACAGTAGGTTTCCCCTTGTCCTTACCTACCATCCCACCAGCATCCACATCCAGAAGCTCATCCGACACCATTTCCGCCACCTCCAGGAAATGCCACTACCAGGCACATATTCCCCTCCCCTCCCTTGTCGGCCTTCCACAGGGACCGTTCCCTCTGGGACACCCTGGTCCACTGTTCCTTCACTCTCAACACTAGCCCACCACAGCCCTACTGCAACTTCCCCTGCAACCGCTGAAGGTGTAACATGTGCCCATTTACCTCCTCCCTCCTCAATATCCAAGGGCTCAAACATATCTTCCTGGTGAAGCAGCACTTTACCTGCACTTCACACAATCTAGTCTACTGCATTTGCTGCTCACAACGTGGTCTTCTCTACATTGGGGAAATGAAGCGTAGACTTGTGACTGCTTCGCAAAACACCTACGTTCTGCCTGCAAAAAAGACCCTGAGCTCTCATTTGCTTACCACTACAACACACCATCCTGTTCCCTGGCCAATATTTCTGTCTCAGCCTTGCTGCAGTATTCCAGCGAAGCTCAGCGTAAGCTGGATGAACCTCGTTTTCCGCTTGGGAACCCTGCAACCCTCCAGACTCTCTATTGGGTTCAATAATTTTAGGGGCTAAACCCTCCTATGTCCTAGCCCTCTACACCACACACCAGGCTTTGTTATCAAATAGTCTGCCATTACACACTACCTATTGTTAGCCACTAACAGTCTCCATTCACCCTGTTATCCATTCCTTTGATTGTCCAACTGTTCTGTCTCTTTGGGCTCTATCCCCAACTATTGTTTATTCCTTACCCCCTTCCCCCACCCTATCTTCTGTATATAAACTGACATTTTCCTAGCCACCATCAGTTCTGAGGAAGGGTCATCTAATCCAAAAAGCTAACTCTCTCTTCAAGATGCTGCCAGACCTGCTGAACATTTCCGGCAACTTGTGTTTTTGTTTCTAAAATTATTGAGCTCAACACTAAGTCCTGAAAGCTGCAGGGTACCCAAGTGGAAAATGAGATGCTGTTATGTCAGCCTACGTGGAGCCTTGCTGCAGCACTGCAGCAGACTCAAACAGAAATGTTGGCCAGGGAACATGGTGGTGTGTTAAAGTTGCAGGCAACTGAAAGCTCACAGTAATTCTTGCAGACAGAACAAAAGTGTTCCACAAAACAGTCAGTTATTCAATTGTCTTTCACCTCCTCGCTGTAGAGGAGATCACATTGTGAGCACTGAACACAGTAGGCTGGATTGAGTGAAGTGCAGGTAAATTGCTGCTTCACCTGGAGGGTGTGTCTGGAGCTTTGGATAGTGAGAATGGAGGAAGTAAATAGGGAAGTGTTATACCTTCCATGATTGCACAGGAAGATGTTGTGGGGGGGATGTTGGGAATGGAGGAAGAGTGGACTGGGATGTCCCAGAAGAAACAGTCCCTGTGGAATGCTGACAAGGGAGGGGAATGGGTGTCTGATGGTGACATCTCACTGATGGCAAAAATGGTGGCTTATGATCCTTTGGATCCCCTGGTCCTCACGTTTCACTCCACCAACACCTGCATTCAATCAGTGTTGTGGGAGAGAAATGGTGAGGGCAGAAGTTCAGGAAATGGATCAGACATGACTAAGGGCCCTATCAACAATGATGGCAGGGAATCCTGGGTTGAGGAAAAAGGTGGACATTTCTGAGGCGACCGGCAGAAAGTGGCATCAGAACATATGCAATGGAGACTAGGAAAATGGAATGGAGTCTTTACAGG